AAACTAGGATAAAATCGGTGGAAAAGATCTGCTTCTCCACAAAGGTCTGAAAATCAGCCCCCATCCCCTTTTGCTCTGCTGTGAGCACAACCCAATGTTCAGTTAAAACAAGTTTGTCTTGTTTCAAAGGGTTCAGTCTTTTTCACTAAAGGTCAGACTTTTCAAACATCAGTGATCGGCCAGAAAACTGCAATCCGTGCACCTCTATCAATCCAAAAACAGAAATGGTTCATCTTGTTGTAAACTGATTTCTTATGCAGAGGCTGTAAGCCTTCATCAGTTCTGCAAACTTTCATCTTATTTCAAACACATAAAAAAGGGGGTAACTCTTGCAACATTTGCACCTATATTACAGTTTAGATGTAGAAATGGCCACTAAACTAATCACTGCCTATTCCATGCTTTTACCATCTTTATAAAGGACATTTTCATTTGGTGGGTGTAAGGAAGCTGCGTAACTGATATCATTTGCTGTAACACCCCCCGTTCAAAAAGTGACACCAAAGACACAAATAAGGCAGTGAGAAAAAAAAATGGACACTTGTTTAGAGGACATACTGTGTGGGAAGATTTCTATTCTATTTGGACAATTAATGAGTCGAGTCTTTTTATTACCTTATGAATAGACAGTTAAGCCACCATATTGTTGCCACCTGCTCAGCGGGTTCGAATGTTATCAGTCCATTAAATGGACATTATTATCGGTTGTCAGTCCCATAGAATGGCTTCAGACTGTCCCGACAGTGCCCCCTAGTGGGTTACCAGTGCCATATATGTTGGAATGCAACAATCTGCTACCACCGGAGTCCGGTCTACTTTATCGTAGCCCATGTCATTTTCTCTAAAATTAACCTTAGCGGTTTTATGCCTCATATTACAACCCATTCTCACTCCCAAGTCGTCACATATTGGCGCTTTTCCAAGGTTCCCTCTGCGTCCGATTTTGACGCATCGGGTACCCCCTCGCGTCAGTTATTGACGAGATGGGGCGGAATCCGTTGTCATAATTTCAGAAAGTGTAGAAAATGCACCAAAACTACCATCCCAAAGCCTAAAATTACCTTTATTCACTGTAGACATGCTGTCCCTGACCCTAGTACCTAAAATTAACCATTTTTAGAAATCGTAGGAAATTCACGTGAACTACGTGTTCCAAAGCCTAAAATTACCTAATATTCGCCCTAGACATCCTATCCCTGACCCCACTACCTAAAATTAACCATTAACCCTTATCCCTAATATTAACCACGGACCCCAACTCAAAGACCCGAATATTTTGCGTCCCATCGCGTCAAACCTGGATGCTGAGGGAACACGGAAATGCCTGGTGCGTCAAAAACTGACACGGCAGTTGTACCAGACGCATCAAAATAAGACGCAACGGGAACCTTGAAAAAGCGTCGATATGTGACGAGTCAGGAGTGAGAATGTGTTACATATTAACTAGATTGCATAAAAACCCTTAGTGGCTTTATGCCTCTACTAACCAGCAGACAGTCTGAAGCCATTCTATGGGACTGATAATGGCTAATAACGTCCATTAAATGGATGATAACATCCGAAGCGGGCGACCTATTATGTTGGAAAGTAAAACTAAACCTTTGAGTTGAATGTTGTGGAGGATAAAAAAAATGGATGTCCAGCTGCCAACGACTGGATTTCTTTCAGCCGCAGAGCGACGGAATCAGACAGAATCAGAAAATGGAGTGACCTTTTTTCTTATAGACTCAAAAAATTGCTACTGTTGTTTCTTTTTTTGTTTGTTTGTATGTTTGTGTCTTGTGGAAAATGAATTGGTGTTGCAACGTAACTCAGCTTAGAGGTCGCAGTGTGATTATTTGGTGGGATCTGCTTATGCTCACCGCACTCGCTAAGTTGCACAGACAAGCAATTTTGACCTTTGTTCACCCCAGCAGATCTTCACACATGGACCATTTATGGGAACCTGACCCCGTCCCAAACAAACCGAACCCTATTTTTGCTCACGACCCGTAAACCCTGGCCTCTGCAACTCAGCAGTATTAGGAAAGCACGGCGCTTCAAATGCTCGATCCTCTAAATCCAGTGAAGTGACAGTAGTTCCACAGTGTTCACAGAGTGTCTGCAGAGTAAACAAAGACTAAAGAGGGCTCTGAAGCAAATGAAAGTAGTTTTTAGATGTCAAATTATTTTCTTACCTAATAACAACGGTGCCAACACATTACCTCCTATTCCTAATCCACCAGCATTGTTCTTTTACTGTTTAAACATCTATAAATGTACCTTTAATTGGAATATTTAGTTCACTCGCTCTCCCTGCCCCCCTCCCATCCCTGTCAGTGAGAAAAAGGCTGGTCTTAGGGAGAGGGGTCTTCCGATACGAAACCGGAACAAAAACGAGTGGCCACCCCGGGCTCATAAATGTAGTATCTGGTGAGCTGTGTGCAAACGGGGCTTAGCATAATTCAGAAATACCAGACAGTGTGCGCTGCGGTGCACTTCTAAATCCTCAAAGCAGCTTTCTCCCCCTCCCGTGCCCCTCTTTACCGTCTTCAAATAAACATTTCTGCACAAACAGGAATCCTGCCACATCCAGCCGATTTCCTGAGAAAAACAACATACTAGGCCGCCTGAAGACAGGTTTTTTTTTTTTTTTTTTGGTTGTTTTAGGAGGGGTGGACTCGTTTATTAGAGCAGGATGCAAATAGCACACAGGATAAATCCAGCATTTGGTTTGTCGGAAGCAGAACATTTAAATGTTGGTTTATTCTACTTTTTCTAGAACTATGATGGTGTTAGCCAAGGCTGGCCGCTGTCAACGTGAGTCCATTGGAAAGGGTTTTACTTTGCTGACGTTTTGAAGGTTTTTGGTGGGTTTCTGCTTAATTTTGTTTCAGGCATTTTACCAGTTTTAAGTCACTTCATATAGTTTCGCTAATTGACTGTGTAATTCTGATGTGCTTTTTTGGAGACGATCGACGCAGTGTTGCTGTGTTTCTGTATACAGTTTGCTGTATGAAGCAGCAACACACATTCAGTGACTGTCAGTAAAAAACACTTGTATGACTTCTGTCACACATAAAAGCTGCCCTCAGCTGACAGTACGGGACACCTATTGATCCAAACTTTAGCATTTTGGCCACAAACACAAAACTTTAAGCCAAGTGAGATTAAATCCCATTGATATTAGGAGAAAACTAACACCTATTCGGCAAATAATAAGCATGAAAAAAAGCATTGAGCAACACATAATCAAACGAGATTGTGATGAATTTAAAACATGTTGTTTTGTTGTCACGTCAATGATGAAGGACATTAGTGTTTTCAATATCTTGGACCTTCACATGTTTGGGTCTATATTTTTTTAGGGATGTCCCAATCCAGATTTTTGACCTTCTGATATAATCCGATTTTTTTTTTTATGATTAGTCTTTCCGATACCAATCTGAAAGCATTATTTCTTTATTTCTTTCCAAGTGACAAGATTGGTAGTATTAAAGCGAGCCCTGCTGTTCCCACCACGAGAAACATCCAGTTTGCAGATTTTGCAAGATGCAGTTTCAGCATCATTAGCTGCGTTTCCACTGACCACGAAAATGTGCAAATTAGAATTTTGAAAATAAATTTCCTCAATGGAAACACGTCAATTTCGAAAAAAATTACGTTTTCGACAAAATGTTTTGCGCTAGGAAGAGGTGGTTTTTCGGCAGTATCGAAATTGGTGTTTTTCGCAAAACTGCAATGGAAACACTTTTTTCGCATCACGGGAATCACGTGATCAACAACTGGCTGTTTCTACTGTCGAAAAAGACGACGAAGAAGACAACAGGAAGTAGAAGTAGTAGTAATATTACAGAAGTAGTAAAAGAAAGTAGTAAACTCACCGACTACAATTTCCCAAAAACACAGCATACGTAGCCGCTCCCAAATAGGGAATTGTCTCTGGAAAGCCTCGATAAAAGACGCCAACGTCTCCTCTGATGATGAGCGCTAGTGTCACGGTAGCAATATGCTATGTGTTTACATCCATTGCTGCCATGTTTGTAATGACTTATCGCGAGAACAAACGTATTCACGCGTGACTTTAAAAGCATTTCTTACTTAACAGAAACACCGCAGTTGCGAAACTGTGTTTTTTTTTTTTACATTAACAGAATATCAACAAAGTTTTGAGCACATTTGCAATGGAAACGCAGACAGTGTTTTCCATTGAAAAGTGTTCCCACTCTGTGGACATGGTTGCATACTTGTGTGCGTCTTTAATTGTTAACGGCAGTTGTAAAGCACGACGATGCTGAAAACTGTCGCGAAACTGGATCGACCCGATCACATGACTAAATCCGATTCTACCCGATTTTCCGAAAATGGCCATATCTGCCACCGATACCGATACCGAGTATCTGATCGGGACATCCCTAATTTTTTTTATTGGTAGAACCTGCTGTGTGGGTTTGAACAACATCCTGGTATGAGTGGAGGTTGGGGTATGTTTTATACACAAACTGCTCAAAGTGTTTCCAGTCTAGATGATGTCACTGCTAAGAAAGAGGATATATCACAACGTATATGTTAGTCAAGCTAAAATATATTAAATTATGATGTAAAAGTTCATTTAAACCACAGAGGTTTTTTTTGAGCAATCAAGGTTTAGGGGTATCCTACAGGCATGGTGCATCCTCTAAATAACATTAAACTATTAGCCAACACCCAAAACTACTAAATTACTTAAAGTTTCAAGGATAAAAATCGTGTAAATATCAAAAGGTTTTGGGTTAACTTGCAATAATGACTTGCAAATGTAATTTCACAACAAGTGAGCCAAACAAAAGCTCTCGTCTTGTTATTGACTGCACTGTGAAAGCTTTTGATTAAATCACCCTGTTTGTTGTGTTTATGATAAGGTGAAGAGAGGAGACAGGCAGAGATATCAGCAGCACAGTTCAACAAACAATGGAGAAGAATGAGAAAATAAATAAATAAAAGAGTCACCAGACTGTCAGGGTTTGTTTACGCCTCCTTACCTGGATGTCTTGCAGAAGCTGCACGCACCGATCTCTGACGTCTTCAAAAGGACACCGTTTGGAGAGCATGAGAAGGTGAACCAGGATGTCGTTCAGGTCGCTGTTTGGAGGGTTTCCTGAGGACAAGGGGGCCATGGCTGTCATAGGATCGATGGCTTCCACCTTCCTCATGACCTCCTGGCAGGTGGTCTCCAACGCTTCGGCCCTGGAGCCGGGGTCTCGGCTGCACAGCCCGTCCCATCTCCCCACAGCGTTCTGGTCCTGCACCTCCATCGCTTTACGTAAGGCTTGTGCTTGTGTGTTACAAAAAGCTGCAAACACACAATAAGATGTTTAATCTCACAGTGCTCATAAAAAATCGTGTGCATTAAACGAGTAACAACAAAACATCCTCTTGCAAAATAAAATGCAATGGAATATGTAGACGAAGGTGAAAATCCGATTGAAAATATGTTCTACATTTTTTGTGGTAAATGGATATTTGCTTTAAAAAGTGATGTCACAGACAAGTGGTGCAAAAATCCCTTTTTATCTTTTTCATAACAAAGATTCTAGATAAATCTAACCCAAAATAGAACACGCCAAAAATAGATGACATTACTAATAATAAGGTGACAGAGACTTCTAATTTTACATGTAATAACCAGTAAAAATAAAGTGGATTTTAATTGTGCCAGTAATTCATTGATAATGCCTTTGTTGTAATGTTTGTTCTGTTATCAACTTCCAAGAATAACAAAACAGGTTAGAAACGTGACCTGTTTTTTTACAGGCTTATAAACACCATTTTAGAGGAAGGATGTTAGCTAATAATTCCTGCCTTTTTTTATTTTAAAGAACATTAAAGCTCGACATTAGTGTGAAGTCCATTCATCCGCTTCTCTCTCTCATGTCTTTTCCAGCGATCGTTAAAGACACCCGTAAGTCGAACGGCGGCGAAATTTACATTTTCATACATAAAACCTTCACTGGAAGCATAAAAACCAATAACATTTACTCACTTTGTCCACATTCTTCGGTGCGGGTTTTCCGCTACTGAACCCCAGCCCTCCGCACTGACAGACACCAGGGAAATGATAAGGGATAGCAACTTGAGGGGAGGTGATTTGATTGACCTGGGATTTTAACCAATGAGCGAAGTCTAAATCCATTTGGGGTGGGCACGATAAGATTTTGACAGACGATTGGTTAATCTAGAAACGATCAGTTCGTGCGGGAATGAATTATGGGAAATGTAGTCTTTTTATTCAAAATTTTGCTTTAAGAAAAAGACTGTATGACTACGTTTCCCAGCATACATTTCGAAGGGAGCAAGCGCCCCACGCACCCCCCCCCTTGTTTATCAAAAAAATTCAGGCAGGCAGAAAAACAGAGAGGAGAAGAAAGGAAGGTGCAAATACTGTACATTTCCATTTACTCCCCGTTTAAACATATGCATTTACTAACTAATATGGACAAACTGATTTTAATAGCGAGTTATTAAAACTAAACTGCGAGAACATTAAAAAATGAATTTATTTGCATGCATTTAAATGGTCATGATTGCATAACATTACAAAACATAAATCAATATGTGCATAAATCATGTGTGAAACTTTGTGCTGAATATATTACTTGCATATCACTAATCACGTGATGTAATTTTTATTTGTTTATTTTTTTTTACCTTTCTTTTATCTTGCTAGAAGAATGACGTTGAGCAGAGTCGGAACGAAAGTGAGGAGAGCGGGAATATGGAGGGAAATTTAAAAGTGCGGACTCATGACAATTGCTAGCTATTAATGGCTAACTTCTGTTGAAAGGCATTTTTAACGAAAATGTGCAAATAATTTCAGGAATTGTTTCAAAACTTTCAACTTTATTATTGGTATAAAATGGAAACACAAAACGAGCAGGTAATATTTGCTTATTAACTGTGTTGTGTTCTTATTTGTCGTTGTTTAATTATTTGTAAACAGACGTTAGTTTAAATGAGTAGCAAACGAGGCTTTTCTTATTTGATTGTTTTGCATGTTTGCTTACCAACGTAAGTTTATTATGAAGTTTATTCACAAAATGACGAGTTATGAAAAGTGCATATATATATTTGTGATAATAAATTACGTAAAGTTTATTTTTTGTTCGTAGGCTTAAAATGGTAAACTTGATCTGCAAAATGTAAACACTAATTAAAACACATTTTACAATGGATAACGTTTTAGAAAAACTAGACTTCACATAAATTTGACAGAATGATTTTCCTCGAAGCTCTAGCATTTCAAAAATCATAAGCTTTGTAGAAAAAAATACAGTGTAAAAACAAAATTATGTATGTAAGAAATGTTACAAAACAAAAAACATTGCAGCAATTGTGTTACAAAAATAAAGCAAAAATACTGAAATACCAGATTATAACTTGGCCTGTAGAAAACCTTTTTGTATACATTTTCTTGATGCTTTATTTTTATACGTTTTTAATCATAAAACTAGACATTGGTTGTAACTTTTTCTGTATTTCTAATGGATTGTCCTCACATGTAGAATTTAGATTCACCCTCCAAAAACAGTTACGTTGGGAGCTACTACCAGCCTCCAGACAGGATATCATTAGTGTCAAGACAGCTGGAGTTTCCTGCTCAGTCGTCCTCCAACGTGGACCAGACTGCCAGCCTTTTGTCTCAGACTGCACGTAATATCGACAGCAAAGGTGCTGCACAACTTCTTTCTATTCACCCTTATTTTCTATGCCTTATTCTATTATAATAATGTTTACTTTCCTGTAACTCTCCTCCTCAGCTGTTGTAGATGCATTGAAAACCCTCCAGGAGAAAATCAAAAGGCTTGAGCTGGAAAGAAAACAGGCAGAGAATAGTTACCTTCAGTTCTCCCGTGATGCTCAGAAGCACCAGCAGGTCGCAGCTTCAGCGTCAGCCAGCTTATCTGGAACAGATGATTCAGCCAGGAAGGGTAAGTGATGAGACTGCACCTCTGTGGGACCTTATTTGATGTTGCGAGCACATTTTCAGTAGTTTGTTGTGCTTCTTGCAGAGTTGGACCTGAAGCTGCAGACGGCAGAGGCCCGCTGTAAAGTTCTGGAAAAGCAGCTGGACTACATGAGGAAAATGGTTGAAAATGTCAAGAAGGAGAGAAATGTTCTGATGGAAAGTGAGGTAGAGTATTGAAACTCAGAATTAAATTCAAGCTAACCCTATACGAGAAAAATTAAAATTTTAGTCGCCCTTCTATCCAGTGATTGCAACTAAACTTTCTTTTATGTTTTACTTGTCTCTAGGTTGCATTGCACAGCAAACAAAAAGGCAGCTCAAATAGCCAGATTCAGAGAGAGAAGCTGGAAAGGCTTGAGGCTGAATATTTTAAATTAAGCAGAACCCAAACACTTGCAGAGGTAACATATTCTTTACTCATTTATTAATAGTACTACGTATCATAATGATCCTTTTTGGTAATATTCCAGCCACGGTAACAAGTGATCCCTTCTGCAGGGGTCACCACAGGGGCACCCAAAAGAAAAAAAATGTAAAAAAATATCTGAAGTTTCTTAGGAACCGTTTCTTACTTTTGTTGTGTTGGATGCTTTCAGACGAAGCTTGCCATTTTGGAGCAGAAGCTGCTTAAAGAAGAGCACGAGCGTAAACTTGTTCAGGAGAAAGCAGAAGAGGTTAGTCCTCATTACGTTCATTTACAGCTCGTCGCAACAAGTCTAAATTTTTACGTTTCTGTAAAGCATGTAAAATGTAACAAGAATTAAAATAATATATTATACCAGGGGTGTCAAACTCATTTTCACCGAGGGCCACGTGAGCGTTATGGTGGCCCTCGAAGGGCCACTTGTAATAAACTTCGACGTTTCATGTTTAACTTTTACTAAACAGTGTTTTAACATGCAATACCGATAAGAACTAAGTGTATGACTGACTAAATCGAAATAAATACAGAAATACTATTTAGTTTATGGTTGATGCTGACATTAAGCAGCTTATTTTCAGACATTAATACTGTGCTATCCAACTAAATTGCTCAATTACTTACAGCCAACAGCTCAGACAGGAATTTATTAAATTTATTTTTATTTTGTTGCATTTAATCTTAAATTTAAAGTTTACCATTGATAAAAGAAACAAATTTCATGCTAAGTAAAAAAATTAATTGGGGGGGGGGCACCCGAGAGTGTATTATACTAACAAGGGGATTTCGAAACATCTATTAGCTAAAACCTTTCCATATAGGTGAAGATCAATTGAAGATGGTGACTAAATATAGCATTTAACAGGATATTTGATAATGTTTGTGCAGTCTAACATTGTGTTCAGAAATTTATGGTAGTTTTTTTTTAATCATAGTTATTTATTGTCAATATTGAATGTCATTCTTCAAAGTATCCAGAAGCATTTCTCAGAGATTTTAACTGTGCTATACCGTTACATCCGCAGCTGCAGAGGGAGTTGGATAGCAACCTTCGAATGGTTGTGCCACTTACTGAAGAAATGAAGCCAAAGAAGAAAACTAAAAAGACAGTTAGGATATATTTTTTATGTTTATTAACAGCTGGTTTTTAGATCGTATATCTAAATGACATCTGAATTTTCTTTTTTTTTTAAACAGAAATCTTTGAAACAGAGCGAGCTGCCTTCAGGCAGCCTGAGGCACACAAGAATGCCTTTTATTGCAGGAACCGTAAGTCATTTCTAACGTTGCACAATTTATTGCTCTTTTTGAAAAACTTTGACTGACTTCATTTCTTTTTATACGTCTTAGTCGACGAGTCCGAGCCATTCTGTTCACGCCAACGTTCAAAGCGTCCTCCATATGATGAAGCACCACCAGCCGCAGCTGTGTGAGAGAGTGGGCGCCCTGCACAGGTCTGGATGTGGAGCCAAGAAAAGCCTCCAGAAGGACTTTTCTGCATCTTCACCTGCTTCCCAGCAGCCCGTCAGTCCATCTGCTGATCAGTCGCTGAGTTTGCTGTCCGACCTGCTCCTGGCTCTGCAGGATGAACTCGGACAGATGAGCTTGTGAGTGACTCTTATTTTTGTCGTTTGATTGTAAAAAAATAAATAAAAGCATTTCGACATGTGTCAGTATTTGTAAATGAAAGTGTTTTTCAGTGAGCATCAGGAGTTGGAGCACCAGATAGAAGCAGCACAAGAGAAGCAGCAGAAGAAGGACCTGCAGCGGGAGTTGGAAAGGCTGGTCGCCAGGATGGCGGAGAAGGAAGCTCAGATCACGAAGCTCCGCAAACACCAGGAAACGGTATTTGTGCTTTTATTTAGTGCAGCAACAGAACTTTTTAAAAATATCTAATGCCTCAAAAGCATTCTCAAGTTTAGATGCATCTTTGAAATGTTGATTCAGCAGTTTTGTTCTAACAAAAGAGTGCATAAATTTGTTTCATAACTTTTTGTTATGTCCCTGTAAGATTCCAGGTATGAATGCAAATTTTATCTGGGATTGAAGGATCTTTTTTTTTTATTATTCTCTCCTTTTGGTGGGCTCTACCCAGATCCCAACTAACATACAAAACATGCAGATAAAACCAGGAGGGAATAAAGCAGGAAATCCTTTGGAGACTCTACAGACCAGCAGTTTTGTTTGTGAATATATTTAGCTCAAAGATTTTCTCTCTGCCTGTATGCTACTTCCCATTTGTTACATATACTGTAATACCTGTTTTATCTGTTTATATATATATATATATATATATATATATATATATTTCCTAGCAAGTACCCTCCTTTTCCCAGGGTTCATAAAGTTAGAGTTCAAAGTTAAAAAT